GTTGTCTTAGCAACTGATGCGGTGTCGTAGGAACCCCGCGGGTGATGGGAATGCAACTCAGCAAAACCGCATTTGTTTCATCAAATTTCTCAGCCAATCCTTAATTAATGAACTGTGAAAATCCGGGGGAAGTTAAAAATTACAAAATAGGTTTTCGTTTCTATCTTTACTACCGTTGCGTTTGACGGCGGACGTCTGCAGTATTTTCTCTGATTCGATACGTAGACGATGATGAAACAGAGTGCATATGTTCAGGACTCGGCTCAGAGTGATTCTGATGTTTTCTCGGGCATACCATGTTGATTCGTAGTGCAAGTGTTCAACTGTGGTGTCAGCAATTACTGATTTGTTTGTTGGGATCACTGATGTTGCTCCATGAGCGGTCAGGCCAGCCCACCACCCCCGGGGTCCTAGGCCCCACCCTGGAGACGGTAGACACAGACGACGAGAAGGGTGGGTACGATGTTTTAACAAATAACGGGTTTATTACTCTAACTGCTGGTTCATGTCTTCATTAGGCTAAACCATCAGCAAGGATAGAAGTTTCACCTTTCATGTTTTTATGACTTTTTAATTATGCATAATCATATTTCTCCTTTTGAAATATCTGGCTAAGAGGTTACGATTAGAATCTTATATTCTTTTATTGTTTCCTTATTTTGGGGACAAATATTAAATTGGTTTAGGCATATTTTAATAGAAAATAAGCAATTATGTTATCTTTACTTGAAACAGAAGAATATATTCTAAACTTTTTATTTTCGATAGCACATCCATTTATCCTTTTTGTAGCAAAAATATGGTGTCTTATTGCTTTTAATTTTTGTACAGTAAATATAAGCATATACGGATATCAAGGCTGACTGCACAAAAACGACGTGGTCCGTTCACTGCCAGAAAGATAATTGCGGTTCAAATGATATGTTTTATTATTGCGGAGACTCGGATCTGTGCGCACACCTGTTCAAGGAGTCTCAGGGAATTTTATCAGTCTAAGATTGGTTCTGGCACTGATGAGAACATTTCTGAAATATTAGAACTCCCACCAATATGAACGCTCAAAGTACTTCACTTACACCAGGAATGTCTAAAACTTATGAAATGTCTTTTCCGCGTGTTTCAATATCAAAAGTTCTACTTGGTTTTATTGAAAAATTGGAGCACACGCTGCTGAGCTCTTAGTGTTATTCTAAAGACAGCTTCCTCTAATGTGTTTCCACCCAAACTTGCCTCAAGGGTTTGGTATTTTGCCACGCTTACCCTGGCCTTTGCATCTCTTGTTGGATTAGGCGCAACATATAGTGAATAGTGCACGCCGTGCTAAAACAAACAAAAAACAATAAAACAGTATCGGAAACTTTGAAATATGAACTTATCTACTTTTATTGTCTGGTCAGGCCAAGGCGCGCGCGTTGCGAACACACACGCACAGACTGTTGGGTGCGGGAATGGTTTCAACTCCCAGTCATATCAGTGCAGATGTTATTTTAAGGTGTGATTGTGATTCAACAATAACTTAAGATTCTTGAAACAAACGCCGAGCCACTTAGAATGTCTTGACATCCTTACGTTCTAACCTACTTGAGAAACATACACATTTAAGTGGATTGCAAAGAGCAGGCTGTAAAAAGAAGGCCATGTGGAAAAGTTACTTTTGACTACCGTTTGTTTGAAGAATAAATTGGCATATTCGAAACGTTTGACGCTTTGAATGACCTGCTCCGTTTTCCCTTGTATATGAACCCTGAATAATTTTCTACATATTTTGAATTGTCTCGTATTTTTTTGTATCAGTAAGATCAAAAATTGTCCAAATTTAATTATTCTTTAAAAACTTGATTTTTAGAATACAATTTTTGTCTAAATCCCTTAATATTATTATTATTATTATTATTATTATTATTATTATTATTATTATTATTTGACGTGAACGCTGAAAAAGCCTTGATGTAAAAGAACACAGATAATTTCTGTTTGAACTGCTGGAAAATATTGAAATTAAAATGATTATTGAAAAAAGCTCGTTCTGCAAAGTTGATGTTAGGGAAGGGTGCAGCGAATATCGAGAGGTAGTATTAACATTAGGGAGAAAATCCTATACACAAATCACTGTTTAGGTATTTTATAAAGCAGAGTTCGGGTACGTTACGTGCTTTATGAAAACTGATTAACGTGCGTCGATTTTGTCGAGCACGCGTTCATTTAGAAATCTGAATATGTGGCCAATGGTAGTGATAATTATAATCTTCACATTGGTTTATCCTTAAAATAAAGTTTAACTACGGTTTCTAATGTGTTTTATCATCTCAGTTACGCAGTATTTCCGTTGGCCAGTTTATTAGGGTTAATGTTAATTCTACAATGAGATTTATACATGATCGTTCTCCTTATTTCAGGAATTTACAGGGCAAGTAATTCTAGATAAAATGAATTGACAAACAGAATTGCGGCCAAAATTGCTTTTCATGTATCATATTTAGGGAAAACCCTGTCTTGACTTTAAGGAAGAAGCGATGTTATGTTTTGACTCGTAGGGTGAGATAACCTATTCGGCTTTTCAAAGTTTTTTCTAAAAACGGTCTTAGTCCATGGTGGCTGTAGAGGCCAGTTGTTTTGACTCTACTTTTCATTAACTGTGTATAAGGCGGTGTATTGGACAAGGTTCCGACCAGAAATGTTAGCTAACTTTCACATGCGCCACGTTACACCGCACGTTTATCTTTTATTTGATATGGTAGCCAGATTTTATAGGCAAAGCTAACTGAAGTCTATTACAGGGTGATACTGGACATGATTCAGTTAATCGTATACACCCAGAATCCAGCATTTTCAATCTAATCTGCCCTGAGGTTATTTTATTACGTAATTGCCAGAATATACCATTAATTGTTACCTTTGGCAGTCGGGTTCTTCAGTTATTTAAAGGTTGAAGATTTGGTTGAAGGTTGACATGGTACCTATTAGATAGTTATTGAACAAATGTTTAGTTCCCATTGAAGCATTTGTAACATACGCGTACGGCGTGCTTATTATTACTTTTTACTCTGGAAATGCGAACGCAATAACGTTTTTTTATCATTGTATTGGAAGTACCGTTAGAACGATGATCAGTTCTGTCTAGGTAATATGTCACCGGGTGTGAAAGCAATGGTAGAAAATGTTGAAACGAAGTGTTTGTGTTGCAAACGCAGTTACAACACAGGTATAATAACATTACGTCTAAACTATAACATAAAAGACAACCTCTGACTGACGTTGTTTGGGCAGTAATTTGCTACAATGCCAACAGAAATCGGAACCATATTGCCTAAGGCAATTCCACCTTGTACAATGACTTGTTTCAGGCGTTTCTTCTCGGCTTTATTCTAGGGTCAACCTTTAAGTCTAATCTGAGCCATCGGCTACTTGTTCGTTAAACTAAGGTCGACGATCTTTTGCTACAAAAGATATTCTTAGGCTTGGCGGAAAAAAATCAAATGAATCAGAGGGGGGGAGGTAATGAATGCTGCCATTGTGTCATTACCTCTGACAGCACCTCTGTACACTATGAAGACCTTAAACAAACTATAACTGACTTCAAGAGAACTGTATTAAAGTAGATGTTATGCACTTTACCTTAACAAATAATGAGATCAGCTTGTAAGTCATATTTGGTCTGGGTTCTTTGGCCGAGATTATAAAGGGGAGGGAGGAAATATCGAAAAACATCAAATTCATCAACAAAGGACTATTGGCAAAAATGGCGCTTCTTACTGACCAACCTTCTTCTAGCAGTATAGATATATGCCAGGGGTACGTTAATACATATACCCCTTCATAGACACTCTTATGTAAAAAGCACCTTTTTACAACACACATTGAGAAAGATTCAATTATTTTGTCACGAGCTGCCGAGCTCGTGAACAAATATTTGCATGTTTTTTTAGACTGTCGGTCACCGGGTTGTTTTGAAAAGACTTTTTGAAGTGGTTATGTAAAGGAAAGCTGATATCGACATGATTGCTACTTTCATAGAAGACATAACGAAAAATGATGTAAAGTAAATTTAAAGGCGGTTGATCATAACTTTTATGAAGTTCAGGCGAAGGCGCCTGCGTTATTTTGATTCTTAAAGCAGGTTGCCTCTCGATGATTAGATGTCTAGGGGATGTTTATGCCAGGTGACGATATCAATTTATTCCATACCTTCGATTCGGTTGGCTGATCTACAGTAATATCTGGTATAAAATTTCAGTTATAAGTTTTTCAGTGCTTGGTAAGCCGACTGTTATTCTAATAAGACAGGAGGCTTTTTTCGAATGACGCACCACTTCTCAACCAATGATGTCGAAGAAAAGATGTATTTTGAAACTCGACAGTAGATTATAATAAAATGACAAGTAACACGATACAATAACGGACCGTTAAACCACGCATTCAACTCAGTATAAATCATTGAGTGGAAGCGAATGCGTTAGAATAAAATGGATTAGCACGGCAAGAAGTTGAAATGGAAGCATTGAGGTTTTGTTTAGAATGGCCGTTTTTGTGTCGATGTTTTGCTTATAAAAAGTAGCCTCTGGTACCTCGCGGCATTTTACCACACGAAACAAAAACGTTAAAACAAGAGTTTACAGCAGCATAGTAATTGAAAAAATCATGTTACAATGAGGTTCAAATGGCGCAAATCATTGCGTAATTATGCCTAACACTGCCCAATGCAAGAAGAACAACTGTTGGGATGGCAGAATATATGGAAGTGGTAATCCACAGAAAACACTGCGTATACACAGTTACAGCATTAAAATACCGTGTGAAAGAAGCAGAACCTAGGCAAAAAGTAGAAACAGCCCTCGATTTGTTATTAAGAAACACATTTGTGTTTGGTTTACGAATGTTGATGTAACTAAAAATCCTATTTTTGTCAATCGTTCTTTTTTATACATATCTTTGCTTGCCATTATCTTATACATAACCATGTAGAACAAACTAGATAAAATTCTATAACCAATTATTTCCAGCAATCAAAGGCGTTTACCCCCTGTGTCCACACGGGTGCACTAGCTGTTCGGCGGTCAACGGTTGTGTTACGTGCCGACCAAAGATGTTCATGCTCCTTCAGCGTAACGGCATGCGGCAGACGGGGGTCTGCGTCCACGCGTGTCCAAACGGGTACTATGGGGTGCGGACACGGTCACTAAGTCAATGCCACAGTGAGTATCATTGTTTAAAATAAAGCTAGCTTTTCACAGTGCGGGATAGTTTTTACTTTTTTCGAAGTAAGATATTTCAGAGGTACAAAATACTATTGATACAAATAAAACCATAAAGGAAGAACCAACACAATTAGAATGTACAGTCCATAATTCCATTGGTTTAAAATGCACTTCATGAAACGACGTTTTTCAATCTTTTAATGCTTTATCTTCAAAGTGCGATTTTTTCTTGTTGTTTTCAGGATGCAAAATAGAAAACTGTGATAGTTGTTTCAACCGCCATTACTGTACATCGTGCCGAGCGCCGTACATCGCGTACAGAGGGCAGTGTCTGGAGAGCTGTCCAAACGGACTTCACTACGCTAATTATTCTAAGGAATGTTTAGAAAGTAGTGAGTACCATTCTATTACTTATAAATTTAACCTAATATTCTTGGTACCCACTACTGTGGGCTAGTGTCCTACTAAACTTTGATTCTCCCAAACAACAACTCATGAACGTCAATTTTATATTCCATAACCTTTATATCTTAATATAAAAAGGTTGGGCATATTTTTTTAATCTCTTTGGTTGATCTGCTAAAATGGTTATATTGTTAATGCAGGTGGTACGAAGCACTAAGATAATTGGTTTTATTGGATTGATTCATTTTACGGTTAACGTCGTATAAATTGATAAAAAAATATGTCTTTGACTCATGGAGAAAAATAAAACGTCTTATCGCGAGGAATACGAAATTTATAAACAATCTGCGTACTGTTTCAGTTGATTGTATGGTGGGACCTTGGGGTAGCTGGGGCACCTGCATGAAGAAAGAACAGACGTGTGGATACAAATACGGCACAGAAAGTCGGTCACGAGAAATCTTACAGCTACCTATCAATGGCGTGCCTTGCCAGGCACTACTGGAGTCTCGAAAATGCCGAATGAAGAGGAGGCATTGTAATACTGGTGAGTTTATTTCATTATCCTGGTCAATTTATGACGTAACCTCTTCATTAAATCACTCCAGGCTTTAAAACTTGTGAGTTAATTTCCATTTCTTTAGTCAGTTTACTTTGTAACACGGCCGAGTACATTCGAACGCAATCTGTCCCTTAATTATAATGATGAATTCGAACTGGAAATCTGGCAAATCAGTTTTCAGATACTGGTTACATCATGCCGTTGAAATGAGGAAATCACACAATATAGGCTATACTGGAGAGTTCACATTGAAATACTAGTGAATTCATACGAGTGGTTTTATTGGGCATTGTATGTGAGCAAAAGGAAGATATTTTAGTATATGATCAACAATTAGCATGTTTTTAATTGTGGTTTTGGAAAACACTTTGGTACAGACGCGGTTTTGAACTTTGACCTTTCATTTGGCAGCTTGTGGTAAAAAAATCCTTTTTTTGAAAAATTGATACCAAATTACATTTTTGTGAATAGTTGTTTGCTTATCATATACTTACCATTAAACATATTTCTCTTTAATGCATGGTTTTCTTGTTTTCTTTATTGCAGATTTGCTCAGCAACAGTTCAGAACCTTCAGAGGAAAAGTCAAAGGATCATATTGGTAAAAAGAGAAAAAGGAAAAACAAAAACAAAAAGAGGAAACGGAAAAGAGGTAGGGACGATCGATTCAAGTGCAGAAGGCGACAAAGGCGGGAAAAAGAGAGACGCGAGAGAGAACAGAGACGGCGCCGAGAACGCGCAGAAAGGCGAAGGCGGAAACAGTTTCTTCGTGAAAGAGAACAATCTTTAAAAAGTGTCTGGCAAAATACCACGAACACTTTCAACTCGACAATGTACATACCACGACCAACCACTTGACGAGAGATTATAAAATCTCGATCAGTTATTTGATTTAATTGGTGCTCATGTTTCCTATGAATGCTCATGTGACAGGCGGAAGTCTTAATATGTTTCAGCGATTTCTATCAGGCATTTGATGAAATGGAATTTGTGCGAGCCGCCTTCATACCCGATGCTCGAAAAACACTTTGATATAGACGCGGTTATGAACTTTGATATTTGACCTTTCATTTGGCAGATTGGCAAACGATTGTAAAGATAAAGATGCAGCTGTTTTTTCCGCATAGCCCAAATAGATAATCATATATAGAAAACAGATCCCATTACTTGAAGATGAGGTTTGGTGTGTCTACGCATTCTTGCAACCCTAGCACACGTAAATGAGGCCCTGTTCAATAAAATCTGCTCCGATGGATATCTATCGCTATAGTGTATACATCGTGCGTTATATGGCTACTTGAAACCCCTTTATGACAGTGCAATGTGTAAACCAATGGCAACAGATTTTCTGAGTTTCCACATCCAGAGTTGCCAAATGCTGTACTTCCCAAGTCTGTCTTAGGACAAGTATATATATATATATATATATATATATATATATATATATATATACCCATGTATGACCACTTAAGGATCCTTGGGTTTTATCCTAGGGTTTTAGTACGCTCAATTTTGTTACAGCAAACAGGGTGTACTTTTCGACGAACGGTCAACCCAGGTATACTTGAACCTATGTTCACCTAGGTTAAAAGGAGGGTTGTGATAAATGCTTGAAACAGTATTTATAACGAGCATAGTTTCTACTACTATATTAATGTGATTACCTTTACATTTTTGGTCTAACTTAATGACGAGACAGTGCGTATTTGTTGGATGTTTGCTATTGATCAGCATATACAGATGCCTATTATTGGTAAAACTTTCAAGAGAAAGGTAGACAATTTGTTGGCGGGAAATGCTGTAAAAAGGTTATAATCCCATTTTTGATGTTTCAGCATGTAGACCAATGTCATATCCATCTTATTCTCAATTCAAAGACCGCACATAAATCTGTTCTGTAAATCAGTATTTGGTACCTGGTGAGCCCGACCTTGATTCTGTGTTAGCTTCTTTGACAATCGCTATTAACTGCCTCCCTATGCAATCACTTTATTTTTTAGTTTTTCCAATTGGCCCTGTTTTGACATTTTAAAAATCAAATATCTGACAACAGCAATGTTAGTCAAATATGAAAAGCCTTTGTTTTAACGCAACAAATTCGTTTATTTCATTTTAGAGCCTGTCAGTGAAAAGAAAAACTCAAATTAATAGTCTAAGGTCTGTTGTCTAAGTTACAACCTTTGACAACCTTTCCTTTTTGTACATTTGAGAAAGTCTTTGCCTCTTTTGTTTAGGGTATAGTATAGTGATATACTGTAATTAAACGAGCTATAAAATATGGAAAAAACTGAGGGATATTGGTTAGATATCTGTAGAGGTAAAAAAGTCTATATCTCACCTGGACAGTTACTAATAGACACATAAAGCAAATCTTTTAAAGCTTGGAATACAATTTCAGTTGTACTAGTCATTTAATCGTATAATCTGTAAATATATATATATAATTATAATATATATATATACATACATATGAAACCAGGTAGCGTTCTACAAACGCCTTATTTATATAAACTTAAATTAGCTTTTGATATTTTTGTGAAGAAGTTTATGATATGATGTAATACATTGAAAGGGTTACTTATAAACAAGTCCCTTAAAATTTATTTATATCAGCTCCACAGTCAGCAATCGGTGAGATGACAGTTCTTTAAGGATAGGTTCAAAAGTATGCTAGCACGTTCTTGAAATATGAAATAAATTGAAATGTACAAAGTTGTTACGAAAGCAATGTGAAATAAAAACAAATGCTTTTTCGCAAGTGGCAATTATCTTTTTGTCTATGTTTAGCTTCACTATCATAACTCAGTTATCCTATCTTGCCAAAATGTTTTTCAATTTCAAAAAACATAACGGCAAATAAATGAATGATCAGAAAAAAACTGCACAATGAAATGAGCGATAATAACAAGCGGCGACGCCAATTAAAAAAAATTACCGTCTTATATTTTGAAACGTTAGAATAAAGACGAAAGGTACCCCAACACAATCTACGTTTAGTACTTACAACAATTAAAAGGAGTAAATGCGTCTTCATCAAAACTGATTAAAATTAACTTTATTTAAATAATTTATTTATTTTTGAACGAATCGATGATTAGAACACAATAGTTTTTAATTACACTTTTGGCTGGTTGGATAATTGAAATATACACGGGTGTCAGCATATTCTTTAAAAAAAATTATGATTCCCACCATTCTAAGGACTACGATACTGAAGAAGCGCAAAAGGCGCAGATCATGTCACTGCAAATTACAGTAGATACCAACATTTAATAATAATAATAACAAAACAGTCTATAGCTTTGTGCATTTCAGAAAGATTTGGACTCCTATGTTTTGGCGTTATTCAATGGTATTAGCTTATTTTAAAACAAGTGGTTCAACAAAAAAATTCAAAGAACTTCGTACAGAGTGATGTTTACTGGAATTGAAAATATGTCTACATCTTATTAGTACAGTTGAATAAACTAATATATAAATAAAGATAGACATAGACAAGGAAGAGAATAATAAAAGTAGCCCATGCTAGTTAATTGTTCAACGTAAAATTGCCTAAGTACTTGTATAAAAACCTATCTATTGAGTGTTGTAGCAGTATTGCAGTAAGTGTGATTTCGCAGCAGACACAATTCTGTCAGTTCACAATCGCAATATAATGGTAGAACAAAAATATTCGAGAGTAAAGATGTGAGAAGGACACTGTTACACTGAAAACCTGGCGAATGGTTTTTTATTTGCCAATTAAAAATAATTTGAACACCAGATGGGATTGGTTACAGGAACTTAAAACAAGGGGGATATTTTAAAAACCATTTAGGAAATGTATACTGTATGACGCAAAACTAACTACTGATGGCCTGAGTACCCATCCGGAAAAAGCAGCGCGATGCACTGAAACTTTACCTTTGTTTACCTTTAAAGAGGTTAATTGAGTTAGTGGCATTAAGTGTGCGGGGACCAGGTTACAAGATGTGATCAAGACAGCAGAGATCTGGTAAGAGTTAGGGTGAACCAATGCTAATCTCATTGATCCAGTTCATCCAATAAAAACAGGTGGATTTGCACTTCCTTGTCTAAGAGAAGGTGGGTGCGATGGCACGTGTTTGGTTTGACTTTGTGGACTCGTATACCTTTCTGAACATTGCAAAGGAAAAGTTCAAGGGTAAGCTAAAAGACAAGTATCTTTATTATCAGCTTAATTCAACAAAGATTTATAGAATTCATGTTTTATTTTCCAAATTTAAGTGTCGAGTGTATTTGAATACCAGAAGAGATATGTGGATATTTTTGACAAAAACAGATGCCATTTTTATGATTACATTATTATTATTCAAAGAAAACGTTTTAAACATTCAAACATTGTCAGTCAATCAAATGAATCAGTGAATCAAATATTTCAGTTGAAAATGATTCGAAGTAAAAGAACGATCATCCCATTTCGACAAAATGCTTACAAAATTACAATTAATGGATCAGGCATTCTTGAAAAAATTCAATTAATTTTCATCGTATGTAACTCAAATGTGAACAAGACCTTCGGATTTGTAATATAAAAATAGAAACACCTACACTAGTTGTTAATTCTGCTTGTTTACTTACTGAATTGATCACACATTTATTCAAACAACACATGAAATTGAAAACCATGCCACCCCCGCATGCATGTAGGTCTGAAGTTAATACTAGAAAAACATACTTAATTTTTGTCAATTTAGATTTACTAAGGTCCTAAGTACCTTTTTACGTCCACTATCATTTATCTACTAATTTCATATTGTTATAAGTTTATAAGCAGGATAGTTGCAATTAAGAAACATTTTTAGTCACTCAGCTGTTTTCATTCAAACATCGCAGTGGAGATTGTATTTGCAGGTATATGCGGCGTTGTTTGGTAAGCGTGTTTCTTATACGAGTTACTGCAAGCGTTCACAGAGCGTTGCAGATGGCAGTCACGGCCCAGTGCGCGGGTTCCACGACTGATGCACTCTCCTACCCCTGCCTTAGGCGTGCAGGACGCTAACTGACCACTCCCTCTTGCTTATCCGTTTTGCTCGAACTACAGTTGGAATGTTTTGTCATCAAACAAACTTAAGTTAAGTAGGGGTCGACCGAGTCCGGGGGTGACCGCAAATCACGTGGTACTTCATGCTTGATTCGGTCCTAATCAGATTGAGCGGTGCGGCAGGCCTGTCCCGCTTTAGTGGTTAAAACAATTTTAATGTGATAGAAAACCAGTCGGAAAGCGTGACGCAGTCCGGGTTACGTAATACTACTAGTAGACGGTATCAAATTTTTGATTTCCCCCCAGGTAGTTGGCCGTTCGTACGTATATAAGCTGAATGACAAGTTTAAAAAGTCAGCAACAGGGAAGTTATAGTTTTCTTTTTCAACCGGCAAAAGAATTCATAGCAAGATGGAAATTAACATATTTTCATTATTAATATTTAATGGTATCTTGATCAAAAGCACATTTTCTTTGCCTTTCATACATAATAATAAGAAAAGTGTGGCCGTAGTCCAAGGAGGCGCTCATATCAACAGTAAGAGTAAGTATCAAACTTAAAAACGTTCAAAGAGGTTTATTACCAGTGAATTTTGAAGTTATGTAGTTCGATTATCTTTTGAATAGTTTATCCCAATTCATTATCACTATTAATTAAAAAGTAATTGTATTACAGTGACAGAGCTATAAATAGCTTATGGCCGATATTTTCATTTTGTGTACACTTTTTGAAAATCATATCATGACACGTAATTGATTATTTACAGCTAGGAAATATAGCGCCTTTTTGTTCCACACAATGAAAACTTCAGCAAGTGACTCACAGAAAAAGGCGAGACTCTTAGCAATTTTAAAAGACCTGACGGTAATACAGGACTCGGAAGCGAGCCCCACCCCATTTCGGCGTACGAAACCAGAGAAAAAACAATTGCCACTGGGTGAAATCATGAAAAGCTTGATATCGAAGAAAAACACTGATAAGAAAAACAACTCAAGAAAAAGAAGTAGGAGTGCAGTGATTAATATAAAACTTGGGCGATATCGGCGTTCCGAAGACTCCCCCGTTCCTGCGGCGCCATGCCCCAGGGGTTTCTTTTACGCTGGCTGTAGCCTAGGCAAAGACGTCCTTCCAATCATGCCGTAGGAAATATGAATATGTCGACTTGAAGATTACCCTTAGAGACGGAATAACAGCCAATTATGCCGTGACCCTCTTGAAAAATAAGACCGCGTGCAACACGTTAAGGGACATGACTGCCATTTAAAGTAGCGGTTGCATTTATCTTGGAGATTGTCGAGCACGGCACGCAAATTGGTAATTTATCCATGTTGTTTCCGGCCAGGAATCACCAAAAGACATTCCAAGGATTTAAGGTCGTTGCCTCACCTACACAGTGTGATTCAAATATGTTATTTCTGAGTGACAATTTTTACATATTAAATGGATCTCATTTCTGTTTTTTTTTCTTGATAATCAGTTATCTCTATTTTCATATTTATTAATGCCCCAGGGGGTCGCATGTTTTTACCTTATTAGACTGATGATTAAGTTGTCATTTCATATCTCAAAGACTGTATAACAAGCTCTTCATTCAGTCTGTTTGAATATTAAAATAGGAAGACTAGCGGCTACAAAAACCAAAACCAATTTCTTAATTTGTGCATTGAGTCGAGACATCAGTATAACACTATTTACATGTACATGTCACAAATGATATTCCCTTTTTTGTTTTGTTTTTGTTAATAGTGCAAGTTCAGCGTGTTACCTCTATAAACGTGGATAGTTGGTATTAAAAGTGATAGGATGAAGACATGAACTAGAAATCATTGCTATGAAAATTCTTATTGTTAGACATTTAATTTATTTGTGGTACTGCTGTGTATAATCCGATTTGTAAATAAAGTGCATAATTACTGTACTTTATAAAGGAGTGCTTGTTGATTTATTTTTGACTGGGATTAAAGTTGTCGTGGGGTTATTATTGACGACACTCCTCTTGTCATTTTATCTTGGTGGCCCAGAAATAGAGCAATGCTTTGATAACCAAGAAAAAAAAATGAATATTAGGCGATAAGTTCTCTCTTTACAATAAAAACTCACTGTGATGAGCACCGCACTTGAAATTTTTGCAAAACAATTTATTCTTCTAACCGGAATGAAATAAAGTCTGTGACCAAAAGCTCGTCTAATTAGAATACTATAATAGAATGTTTTCTTCTGGGTATTGATGTAGTAAAGACAAACACCAATTGAATGCTGTACTTCTGATATGGTTTCTGAAATCATAAGAAAAATTTTGCAAAATAAGATTTTCCGCGAATACACAAGAATCACAAAATAAGTGTATTTCTAGTGCTTACTGATCGTCATTCCACCCCATCAAGTTCCATAATCAAAACACTCTTTAAAAGTGTGTTCTAGACTTCTTTATTTTTGACTCAGACATAGACGAATAAAACGTTTTGCTTGCCCACAACTCGGACTATGTTGTTTGAAAATACGTAAATATGTATTCCTCTTTAAGGAGTCGAGGCCGAAACATGTAACGTCTATTGGCAAAATAAGCGTGATAACGACACTGACTTTATTGGTCTTTAATCATGTTTCTGTATCTCTTCCAAACCCAGGGGAAGGCATATTAAATAAGTGGAAAATTATTGTTTTCATTTCCCTGGAATGATTAACCAGTTGGAAATATTATGAAGAAATTAAAACCAGTGATTAGTGCGAGGCATTTCAAAAAATCTTTGTAA